TCGCCGGCACCGACACCCGCACCCCGGCCCTCGCGGCCCGAGGGGGCTCCCGCCGACCCGGCCCGGCCTCCCCCGCCACGGGCGGCTCTTACCTGGCGGCCGGGCCGCTGCGGCAGCCGAGGGACCCTCAGAGGCCGCCTCTCGCCCTTCCGCTTCCTCCTCCTCCTCTTCCTCTTCCTCCTCCGTCTCCTCGCTCCGCCCCGTCGGTGTGGGCTGGGCGAGCTGGGCCTGATGGCGATGGGCTGGGCCTGCGTCTGTCTGTCCGTCCGTCCGTGTGTGTCTGTGTATCTGCTCCACAGCTCGCGTTGTAGTTGACACACGGGCGCGGCTGGGCGTGTGTCCGCGTGTGTGTGTGTGTGCGCGTGAGTACCCGCTGTGCCTGTCTGTCCACACACCTGTTTCTGCGTGTGTCTTGCACCTTGTGCATGCCTCGGGTGTAGAATTGACCAGGTTGTAAGTAATCCAACCTGATTAAGATCATCGATCACCAACCATCAGCCTAACCCTGCCAAGCCCCCCATGAAACCATAGAACCATAGAATCATCTAGGTTGGAAGAGACCCTTGGGATCATGAAGTCCAACTATCTACCCTACTCTGCAAAGTTCTCCCCTACACCATATCCCCCAACACCACATCTAAATGACTCTTAAACACATCCAGGGATGGTGACTCAACCACCTCCCTGAGCAGCCCATTACAATGCCTGACCACTCTTTCTGTGAAAAATTCTTTCCTAATGTTAAGTCTAAACCTACCCTGTTGGAGCATGAAGCCATTCCCTCTCGTCTGTCACTAATTACCTGTGAGAAGAGACCAGGACCAGCCTCTCTACAGTGTCCTTTCAAGTAGTTGTAGAGAGTGATAAGGTCTCCCCTCAGCCTCCTCTTCCTCATACTAAACAGTCCCAACTCCCTCAGCTGCTCCTCATACGATTTGTTTTCCAGCCCCCTCACCAGCTTCGTTGCCCTCCTCTACACTCGCTCCAGCACCTTGATATCTCTCTTGTATTGAGGTGCCCAGAACTGGACACAATACTCAAGGTGTGGCCTCACCAGTGCCGAGTACGGGGGCACAATCACTTCCCTACTTCTGCTGGTCATGCTATTTCTAATACAAGCCAGGATGCCGTTGGCTTTCTTGGCCACCTGGGCACACTGCCATGTCCCTCAGCACCACGTCTGCCCACCCTTTCAACGCCTCCAGGGATGGCGACTCCACCACTTCCCCAGGCAGCCCGTTCCAACGCTTGACAACCCTTTCAGTGAAGAAATTTTTCCTAATAACCATCCTAAACCTCCCCTGGCACAGCTCGAGGCCATTTCCAGTACCTGAAGGGGCCTACAGGAAGGCTGGGGAGAGCCTGTTTACAAAGGCCTGTAGTGACAGGATGAAGGGCAATGGCTTTAAGCTGGAGGGGAACAGATTTAGATTGGAGATTAGCAGAAAGTTCTTTACTGTGAGGGTGGTGGAGCACTGGAACAGGTTGCCCAGGGAGGTGGTTGAGGCCCCTTCCCTGGAGATATTCAAGGTGAGTCTCAACGAGGCCCTGGGCAACCTGGTCTAGCTGGGGGTGTCCCTGCTGACTGTGGGGGGGTCGGACTAGATGACCTTGAAGGTCCCTTCAGACCCAGATGATTCTATCATTCCTCTTGTCCTGTTGCCTGTTACTTGGGAGAAGAGACCGACCCCCACCTCTGCAACCTCCTTTCTGGCAGTTGCGGGGAGCGATGAGGTTTCCTTTTCTCCAGGCTAAACAATCCCAGTTCCCTCAGCCACTCCTCAAATATACGCATAATAAATATATATTAATATATAATATATATTAATATATAATATATATTAATATACATATAATGAATATATATAATAAATATAATAAAAATGCACATTTGGATGTATATTTGCATATGGCAGTTTGTGTGTATAGTCTCTTCATGGATGCATGCACGTGTCTGTGTATCTGCGTGTACCTCTTGCTGCGTTCACATACATGTGTGGTGCCTCTGCCCGGTTCCGTGGGTGCAATTGCTTGGTTGTGCCGTTTTCCTGGGTGTGCCACTGCTGAGTTGTGTCTTTTTTTGTGGATTTTCCGTGTGCCTGTGCTGCACTGGGGGAGTTGGTCAGGTGTGGGTGTAAGGACCGCTGCTAGGAGATGGTAGTTTGTGGCTGTGAGTGGGATGTGTGTGGGTGCTGAGTGTTCTGCGTGTGTATTGTGTGTTGAGGCGGTGTGCCCAAGGTATTGTAGGACCTGGCTGTGTACCATAATACATCACGTTGTCTCACTCCCCCTGTAAAACAGCGCAGTGGTGTGGGCTTGTGCCTCATGCGAACCTTGTGGAGCTCAACCAGGCCAAGTGCAAGGTCCTGCACCTGGGCTGGGGCAATCCCAAGCACAAATACAAGGTGGGTGGAGAATAGATTGAGGGCAGCACTGAAGAGAGGGACTTGGGGGTGTTGGTGGATGAGAAGCTCAACGTGAGCCGGCAATGTGTACTAACAGCGCAGATGGCCAACTGCATCCTGGGCTGCATCAAGAGAAGCGTGTCCAGCAGGTCACGGGAGGTGATTCTGCCCCTCTACTCTGCACTCGTGAGACCCCACCTGGAGTACTGTGTCCAGCTTTGGAGCCCTCAGCACAAGAAGGACATGGACCTGTAGGAATGGGTCCAGAGGAGGGCCACAAAGATCATCAGAGGGATGGAGTGCCTCTACTGTGAAGACAGGCTGAGAGACTTGGGGTTGTTCAGCCTGGAGAGAGAAGAGAAGGCTCCCAGGAGACCTTAAAGCAGCCTTCCAGTACCTAAAGGGGGCCTACAGGAGAGATGAGGAGGGACTTTTTATGACGGTGTCTAGCAATAGTACAAGGGATAACAGTTTTAAATTGGAAGAGGGGAGATTTAGATTAGATACTAGAAAGAAATTCTTTAGTGTGAGTGTGGTGAGACACTGGAACAGGTTGCCCAGAGAAGCTGTGGATGCCCCATCCCTGGAGGTGTTCAAGGCCAGGCTGGATGGGGCTTGGAGCAACCTGGTCTGGTGGGAGGTGTCCCTGCCTAGGGCAAGGGGGTTGGAACTCGATGTCATCTTTAAGGCCCCTTCCAACCCAAACCAGTCTATGATTCCATTATTCTATGCTAGCATTGCCAGGAGCCAGGGCTGAGTGTTGTGCTGCGGATCGAGTCAGCCGTGTGTGTGTGTGCGTGTGTGTGCAAGGTGTTGTGTGTGTTGCATGGTAGAGCTGTGTCTGCAGGGGTCAGCAGCGTGTGCCTTTGTGGCATTGATGAGACCGCCTGAGAGCTTGTTGGATGTTGTTACCTGCTTTGGTTGGCTGCTCCGGCTTGGGTTTGCAGGGTCCTCCTTCCAGGAGGGGGATAGAAAGCCTTGCCTTTGAAAGAGAAGCTGAAACACAGGCACAAGCCCCAGGTCCCCAGCTGTCAGTAACACACTAAACGCTCAAAACACTAAACAGCGTGAGCGTTTGCTGTTCCCCTGTTGTTCTGGTGGGGCAGCATGTGCGTGGAGCATTGTGTGACGAGAAGGTCTTCTCAGGAGCCGAGATATATGTGTTTATTGAGGGATGCTGTTTGGCCAGCCAGGCTGGAGCTGAGGACAATGCTGGGGCTGAAAGTGCACTTGAATTTAGAATTTGGTTCAAAATGCAGCTATGGGAAGCAGCTGAGGGGCCTTGCCGCTGTGCTTCCTGCTTAAAAAAAAAATCAGGATTTTTCAGCTTATTTGCTCTGGGCCACAACTAACTGACACCTCTTTCCTCTCCCCCCGTCCCCCATGTTCCTGCCCAGGAAAAAGAAATATAATGAAAATCTGAACTTTGGGGTTTTTGGTTTGTTTGTTTGAAAGCACTCATTTCTTAATTGTGTCCTTAGAATGCTTTAATTCCACGTGCTGGTTGTTTTGGTGTAGTCATTTTGGTACAAACATGCAAATCAGTCTGCCACCGGTTTGTGCTCACCGCCCTCACAGGAGACATCCTATGGTAATTGTGGGCGCGAAACCGGGAAAATTTACTAAATCGGTTTGCAATCTGAAATTCATCCGTATCACCTTATTCTCATTAAAACTCCTCGCCTGCAGTAGCGAATATGGAAAAATGCCATTAGCAGAATTAGCTGAGTGGATGGTGAGCTGTGGTAGCAGCCTGGCCGACACCTGCAGCTTCACCTATGGTGTGCAAACGGCGCCCAAACCAGGGACTGCCTCCATATTTTCCATTTAAAAGTCATTAGAGGTGAAATTAATTACAATAATGGGAGCAAGAAACTGCCAATAACATCTGTTACAAAGACGGTATTTTTATCAGGCAGGCACCTGGTTACTTATTTTATCAACTCCTTATATTCAGGGGTTTTTGATACCACAGACAAGAATAGCATATTATCAGAGGTGCTGGATTCTCAAAAAAGGTTGCCCAGAGAAGCTGTGGATGCCCCATCCCTGGAGGTGTTCAAGGCCAGGCTGGATGGGGCCTTGAGCAACCTGGTCTGGTGGGAGGTGTCCCTGCCCATGGCAGGGGGGTTGGAGCTAGATGATCTTTGAGGTCCCTTCCAACCCAAACCATTCTATGATTCTATGATTCCATGATTCCATCCCCCCCTTTTGTTCATGGCTTGATTTCACTCGGGCTTTATGCCTTTACGGTTGTAAGCTCTCTGGGAACAGGGATTGCCATCTATTCTGTCAGCTGAGTGCCTAAGAAAACCCTATCTCAGTTTGAGACTCCCGCGACATAAATTACTGGAATTCTACAGTATCCAGTTGTGGAGAGTGAAATATTCCCCGATAAGAAAAGGCAAGACAGAAATGTTTTTTTTACTGCTCTTTTCATGGTCTGGAAGCCAAATGTGGAATTTGAATAGCCACGAAGGGAAGTTTTGGCAGAGCT